ACCAAAGGATTTTAAAGAGCCATTTCTCGGAAGAAATTATGGAATTGGCCAGCAAACACATTAAAAAGATCTTCAATATCACTAATCACTAGGAAAATAGAAATCAAAGCCATAATTATTCCATACTTATTAAAATAGCTATTACTTAGAATGAAAACACAAAACAAGTCCTGACAAGGATTAAGCATACAGAGAAATTAAAAGTCCTGGTGGACAGTAGCTATACCTCAAAGAAAAAAATATACATACCCTGTTCATTCATTATTCATAACAGCCAAGTAAAATAATCCTGTTTCTAACAGAAGAAAAACATGAATAAGCAAAGTGTGATATGTTCACACAACAGAATATTATTCAGCCCTACAAAAGAGGAAAACTTCAGTATAGACTAAAATATTACAACATGGATAAACATTGAGGCCAGACACAAAACAAATGTTGTGAGAATCCATGTACATACTAAGGTAATTAAATTAATAGGAAGAGAAGCAGATGGTAGTTTCTGGAAGAAGAGGAGGCTGTTTGATGGGTGTAGAACTTTAGTCTTACAAGACAAAGAAGTTGTATACACTTGGCAATATTCAACTATACAATTAAAATGTTTAACATAGTTAAGTTCTGTTAAGTGCTTCTTTTATTGGGAAAATAAAAGGTACCAGAAGATAAGAAGCAAAGGTCTTAAATAAATTAAGCAAAATGGCAATCATTTAGGATGCTATTTTCTGGAAGCCCACTAGACAAGTTAGACTTGAGATTAATGAGATTGAAGAATATGGACAAAATATGCAGTACTCATACTAGACATGGATCTATATAAAATAAAATATAATAAATTTTGTATTGTTTCTTTGGAAATGGAAGATCTCTTTAGGAGCATGAATTAAGTGCAGAAAATAATAAGTTTCTTTTTTTTTGGGACAGGCTCTCCTATAGCCCAAGACACTTGGGCTATAGCCCAAGGAGTGACCTTGGGCACTATGTAGTAGATAATGTCCTTGAACTTCTGAGTGCTGTTAATATAGGCACCATCACACTAGTTTTATGTGAGCTGGTGATCAAACCCAAGGTTTCATGTACACTATGTAAGCATTCTACCAAAGCTCCATCCCAGCCCCCAAATGAATTTCACTATGACATTTTCATACACACATAGAATGTACTTTGATCTTACTCAGCAATGATACTGGGATACCTTTTGGTACAACATATGTCAATTTTTCTGTTTATTGCCGTACTTCTGCACTTTTCGAGGAAAATATTTACTACAAAAGTAGTAAGTATGAACAGGAAATTTATACTTTAGATATTGCCTATCAACAGTGACTCTATAGTCACTGGGTTGGATCTGGTTTCTTTACTTCTAAAACACATATCACTGCACTTCTCTGGGCAGCTTACCAGAAAAGCTGCCATTTTCAAGGTAACGTCAGCAGTGGAAGAAGATTCAAGTTACAGAGTGCTTTAATGAATAATATCAGCTACAGGCTCTGGCAGAAGGAACCCTTCTACCATCACCCAGATAAAGTCCCACACAACAGGTTATGGCCAATATCAGAGATAAGTTGAAGGAATCAGGTTAACCAAAGTAGCTTCAGATTCAAACAATTCAACTAAAACATACCATTACAAAAATTACATAGAAATTCTTAAATTATTTTTGAGATGAAGAGCAAGGCCACTAATTTCTGTGCTCTCCGGGGCCAAGTATGCATGAACACTACCACAGGAAGAACAGCAAACAGGAGTTTGGGAGTGGGAGAAAGTGCTCTGGGAAGCACATGGAGTGTTTAGGGTTTGTCCTGAAACACCGAGTTAAGTTATGACTTAAGAATCTAAAATGTGCCTCCCTCCGAGGGAGAGGGAACTGGGATTGACATGTAAAATAATAAATTAAATTAAAAAAAATGCTTTGACTCCAAAATTTAAGTTCAAGGACAAGTTACTGGGGAAAAGGATTTCTATTTTTGTTTCCACAGAAAATGAAAAGCTGTGGATTCCTTCCAGACTAATGTGGTTTGGTCAAGCCAGACCACCTGAAACAGAGTACCAGATGATCCTACATTCAAAACAGCTGGACAAAGCAGCCTTACAGACTACAGCCAGGATTTCTGCATCTTCTTCGAATCCCCCATGACAGCGCCCCTTACCAGCAGGAAGTAGTTTGGAAAGAACGATGCCCAAATTCCCAAATATTGTCTATAAATGTTTGTTTTCTTTTAAATGGTCTTGGTTATATAAAATAAATAAAAAAATTTTAACACATTGGAAAAAAAAAGATGAATCTAAAATGTGGTGAAAGACGGTTCGCCTATAGTGCTGTCTAAGACTGAAACGGAAATACAACTAACAGATTTAAATTTTTTTTTTTATTTTAGTATCCAACCTTAAATGCCAATATTACAAAAATCAATCAGCTGCCACAATGTATTGAGTTGTTTTTTCCTATGAATTGACTGGATGAGGAAGTTAATTGTATTTAAGAAAAGGCTTATTAAATTAAAACAAAAAATATAACTTCAAAAGGCTCAAACAAGAACAAAGTGGGGACCTAAGAAAAGAACAGGGGGTCATACTTCAGCAGAAGTATGATTCCCACTTTATATTCTACCCGGAAACCTTTCAAATGTTTTGTCTTAAAGATATACAACTTATCACTATCATGAATAAGAACAACAGCAATGATGAGGACTTATAGAAACAGTACTCAGTAAGTACTGGCAGGGAAAGACAGCCACAAAATTATCTCAAGAAGGTTGTGGGACACTGGACAAATTCTAATCCAACTAGGTTTTTGAGAGAGAGAAAAAGTTGTCATATTCCCAGAAATGCTAAATCAGCAACAGAGATGACGTATAGAGCCTTGGTTCACTGTACTTCCTGTGTGTGTGTGTGTGTGTGTGTGTGTGTGTGTGTGTGTGTGTGTGTGTGTGTGTGTATACTCTCTGTGTGCAATACTTGCTCACAACTCTAAGCACATAACACATATAATCATGAACATTAATAATAGACCATACATGACAGTGAGTCTCTGTCAGCAAGCTCTTGTGTTGTTGTGACATGAGAGAAACAAGTTAAAGGTGGAAGGATCTGTTTGTCTGTGGTTTCAAAGGTGTTATTGCTTCATGGCTGGGAGGGCATGATAGGACAGAGAAGTTCACAATATGGTGTTCAGGAAAAACTACAGGAAAGAGAGAGGGCAAGTATAATACTCAGGGGAAAAGTCCCAGTGACCTGGGTACCTTCCATGAAGCCCTCCTCCCAATAGTGTTACTGTATGATGAATAAAGGAATTCTCATGTATTAGATCAAGGCCTCATGATCCAGCGGTCTCTGGAAATGCCCTCACAGACACACCCTGAAGTGTGCCTAACAAATATCTTAGGTATCCTTGATCCAATCAGGTTGATGTTGAAGATGAACCACCCCATGTTTCATGACTATCACATGCTGAAAAATTCCTCTCACCTAGAAAAGCCACAGTATAAAGTCTGCAGTGAGCTGGTGGAAGAAACCTGCTCAAGTCCTGTACAGACAGTACACAAAGTCATACAATGTCTAGGACTTGTCAGTGACAGCCAATCCTGATGTTACTGGGCCAAGCATCTACCACATTACACTTATGGCTATTTCAGAATGGATTCCTTCTACTTACTTAAAAAAAAAAAAAAAGAAAGAAAGAAAGAAAGAAAGAAAAAAAGAAAACTTTCAGTTCTTTATGGAAGAATTCCAGAAGGTATTGTTACCATAAGAGGGACAGCTGTGTATAAGTTATTGTCCTTGAAGACCTTCTAATGGGACATAGTATACAAGCAGAGGACAGTACTATGGAAGATTTTTATCCTATGTAGGTCTAAGCTAATGTATTTGTTTGCCTTTGTTTTTAACAAAAAGTTAAGTAAAAAGATATTAAAAATTAAAAGGAAAGGCTTAAAGAATAACCTATTAAAATACTTTTGTTTAGCTATATTATTAATATCCTTGTGCTTTACAGAATTATTATGAGTGATTACATTTATAAAACATCATGAGATGGCTCAGCAAGTAAAGATGCCTGCAGCTAAACCTCATAACCCAAGTTCAATGCATGGGATCCACACTGCAGAAGAGGAACCAACTCCTGCTAGTTGTCCTTTGACTTTTATATGTAACATGTAAAAAAATTTAAATTTAACAAAGTAAAAAATTAGCAGTATTAATAAATTAATTAGAATAAAGGAATAAGTTAAATAAGAAATAAAATATTAAAAGTAAATTGGATTTTTTTTTTTTTTTTTTTAGAGTAGAGCCAACCGAGACATTCACGCCAGGTTTTCTTATGCTCCACTTACTTGATGACTAGGAACACCTTCAGGTAGGTTCTGTAAGTTCTATTTAGATGGCTGCCCTTTATAAAAGTGCTAGCTTTACTTTTCCTGTACTTTTTCCAAATGCAATATGCACACAGCATGGTGTTAAATGTCTACAGTTAGGTGACATGCTGCATGGGTTTGTAGATTAGGGGCAACAGACTATGCCATATAAGACATGTGTGCAGTGGGCTATATACTCTCCAGGGTTGTGCCAGAATACTCCACATACACTCAACAACCATTTGCTTTTGCTAAAAGCAGCCAGTAATTATTTTAAGAGAGAGGATGACTGCTGGCTAGAATCTACTTTAAGATACTTTTCTGCTCAAGAGAAATACTGTTTTTGATTTTCAAGTAAGATAAACTGAGAATACATAAAACTTCTTTATGCCTTCCTCATTCTAATTTCACAGTGACATTATACTCAATAAATACTTTCTAGAAAATCAACTATAAAAAAAATCTATCAGCCATTAAATAAAGTTAGTAGATTGTAGTTCTATTGAAATGGCATTACATGTAAGTTTGTCAACTTTTTGTGTTTCTACATTTTCCAAACTGAAAATAATTTCAATTTACTAACAGATCAATTAAAATGTCAGTAAAAATTCAAAAGAAAAATAATCTAAAGAGACAAGTATTCTGACTTACCTAGAGGAGCTGAAGTCCTGAGATACTATGTTGCCCTTGTACAACTTGCTCTTCTTCCAATACAGATCATCCTGATATTGATGTAAATTAATGTGTGTCTTCCTCAACAGATTCAAGACTCAAATCAGTCTTGGTTCCATTACTCCAAGGGCCTTGGAGAGTCATCTTTCAAATACATTTACCAAATCAACTTTAAAGAATATAAACCTAAAGAAAAGGATATCAAAGATTTTACAGATATTCTAGGACAAAATTTTCCATTTATAAAGGTTACATAATCAATCAAATACACAAAAATCGACATAGTTAACCATAGCATGAGACAGGAACAAAGATATTTGCTCAAGTGACTGGTGTGACAAAACTGATTGTCTTCTAAGCATAGTGCTCTGAGCCTCCAGCTCTGGCCTCCTAAAACTAAACTGAGTCACAAAGGCAAAGCCTTTAACAGGACAATTAGTAACTTTGGAAATGGATTCTACTATTACTATAGTCTAAAGGCATGCTGTTACTGAAAACAATTACCTAAACAAAACAAAAACAAAAACAAGAAAAAAAAAACAAGTTAAACTTCCTTACACACAGATACAGACACTTATAAATTCATATATTCATATATCAGATTTTGCTCTTGATAATTAATGAGAAGAAGCCAAATCTTATCACTAATGAAAATGTAAGGTTTTGGGCTCTGTCAATATTTGCACAACTGAATTAAGCTATTCATGAACTTGCAATCTAACTTTAAGGCAATCTTAAGCAAGACAGAAAGTAATACTTTTTCTAAATCATATCAAAACAGAAATTTCTTGGGGCTAGAGAGATGGTTCAGCATTTAAGAGCATTGTCTGCTCTTGCAGAGGACCCAAGTCTGATTTCTAGCAATTTGGCAGCTCACAACTATAACTCTAGCTCTAGGAGATTCAATGTCTCTGGCCTTCCAGGGGTACAAACATTCATGTGTATATTACCACACACAGAGATGTTTTTCAGAGATGAAAAAACTTAATATGGACACAAAACTGGCTAGTGAAAACCATATGCTTCTGTATGTACATGGTCATCTTTTGTCATAAATAAAACCATGAGTTTATTTATTACTTAACACAATCAATGACCATGCAAAGCAAGTGTTGAGAACTTTGGTAAAGGCTCAGAAAGATTTTCAGTTTTGTGGTTCTGAGGTGTCCATTGTCCCTAATTATTCCAGCTACTAAAAGAACAAAAAGGGTATCTACAAAATAACCCCAACCTTACCCCAAATACTGAAACCAAACTGACTAATTTTCGTTTGTCACAGGCATAATCTTTTAGATTTTTCTGTGCCCAATAATTTAGAAATATATAAATCCATTAGTCAGGCATGATGGCATAGGCCTTTCATCCCAGCACTTGGGAGGCAAAGACAGAGAGAGTCTGAGTCCCAGGCCAGCTTGGCCTATACAAAGAGTTCTAGGTCAGCTAGGAAGATGGAGGAAGAAGAGGGAGGAGGGTGAGGAGGAGAAGAAGCAAAACAACAACAACAACAACAACAACAAAACCCAAACCCCCACATTCCTAAATTACAGGCCTCACAAAACCAGGCTTAAGGTGACCTGTGAATTTCTGTTATCCTAAGTCAACGGTTTATACTACTTAGTATAGCAGTACTCAGCTTGTGGGTAATAACCCCTTTGGGATCACATATCAGATATTCTGCATCATATCAAATGTTTACATTAAGATTCATAACAGTAGCAAAATTACAGTTCTAACAATGAAATAATTTTATGGCTGGGAGTTACCACAGTGTGAGGAACTGTATTAAAGGGTCACAGTATTAGGAAGGTTGAAAACTACTGACTTAGTAGCTAAATACCCTTATCTTTAAGGCCATTCTAACCACATCCCCATAAATGAGGAAGTTCACCACTAACATTAGGATGGAACTAAATTCTCATGTACAGGTAGGAGTAAACTAACTATACTACTAACTTACCAACTGCAGCAAAAACCAAACAAACAAATAAATAACTTGAATATCTGAGATTAAATGTACCAGGCAGTATTCTCAGCATGTTGTTTAATTTGCAACATGGTCATGGGATGAGTATTTCTATGATCCCTATTTTGTATATGAAGAAACTTTGGCACAAATGGCTAATGTCAATTATCTAAGCTTACACAGTGAGTAAATATGTCTTGAGGCTCATGGATGGTCACCATGTTTTGCCCTTTAACTTCATCATTTGTTCTTTTCTTGTAAAATTTCCATTTCATGTGACAATTCTCAGCAATTAAAATGCACCATAAATTAAGTGCATGTAGAAGACTATGTGATACACTTGACAGCTAGTAATAAGTAATAAATAGCTAAGCCCTACTGAGCTTAGGACAGTAACAAAAACCGAAGGGCTCAGATGGAGGGAACTTTAGTATTCTCATAGAAAGACTGAGCACCAAATCCCTATTCCTCCCTGTGTGCTATTCACTGGAATAAATAAATGTTGATGGCACTGTCCAAGGAAAAGGGTGGCAAAAGGCAAGTCACTATGCAATCTCGAAATGACTTCTGCAATTTATTGCTTAAATTTGCTTCCAGCTTTGCTGTATAGAGGGCATTACCCACCTATAGTGTTTGTCGCTTACTGGTGTGCTAGCAGCAATGTTCAACAGTCACAGTACAATGAAACTAACCTGCACACTCATTTGCTCACTGTTCTTGTTTCTACCATTTTGTTGTTCCTGAGGGCTGTGTTCCAAATCCAGCAACACAGAGAATATTGTACTCTTTAGTGGGCATTTGAAAAAAATAGGGGTTATTAAAATTATTTAACTAAATACTTAACATTTATTTAAGAATAGTGCTAAATTGCTAAAGTGCCTTTTAGAAGTTATAAAGAAAGACCACAACTTCAAATAACTTCAGAATAAAAACACCAAAGAACTTGACATTTGAGGACTTTGGCTGGCCAAGGAAATAAGAAATGCCTAAAAGTGAACTTATTCCAAAGAGCTGTCACTGGAATGCAGCTATGTGCCAGACAATTACTTCAGAGTCTGCTTTCATTACTTACAGAAACATGAGGAAATTTACATGACAGATGATCTCCATAGCATTGGGCCAAGAACATAAGACACAGGGGTTCTTACCAGGACAAGGCTCAGAGCAAAATTAATATGGCCAATGTTATAAAATGTACTTTGCAAATTTTCTTAAATTTATACTTTTCCAAAAGCACTTGCTATCAGTAAAGTGCACAATTCTGTAACGTGTGACTAGTATAGTAAGAAAATGATATTTCTCAGCAGAAAGCCAGCATCCATGTTTCCTGGGGTGGCTCACAACAATGTGTATTTTCAACGGAAATTATCTGGCTTAAAATTGTACTTCAACATTTTCATTTTCAAGAGGCACATCTCAGAACTGTGGCTTACACTCTTCCTCTCATCGTCTCTGTCTTGAAGCACATCAAACTGTCTTGGTACTATCTCCTAAAAGCCCTTTAATGTCTGTTTTTCTTCTTCTCTGCTGCTGACCTCCTGGCACATGTTGTATCATCCCCTGCCTAGAAAACTAGGTACTCTTAGCAGGCTTTGTGGGGTTTCATGGTCTACTCTTGACTTGCTTTTCCCTACACTTCCTGCTTCAGCTCTGCACCCCAGTTATACCAGCCTTCCCTGAATTTCCTGGGTATGATAGCTTCCTCTCAACGGAATCTTTATATATGTTAAATTTGCTCACTGTAATGACAAAATGCCCAGGACAATCAACTTAATGAAGGATTTACTTTATTCATAGTCTCTAAGTTTTCACTGTGGGGCCTGTGGTGGGGGAGTATATTTCATGGCAGGAAGCTGCTCTTCTCATAGTGGCAAGGAAGCAAAAAGAGAGAAGGAGTTGGGGTCTCAGTATTTCCTTCAAGAATATGTTCTCATGGTGACCTAACTCATTTCCCTAGGCTCCACCTCCAAAAGGTTCTCTTACGTCTCAATGGTGCTGTAGACTGGCCAACAAACCTCAACACATGAACCTTTAGGAAACACTTAACATTCAAAGCATAGAAAGGTCTCAAGGCAAAACCATCTCCTCAGAGCTGTCCAAACCCCAGATTAGTTCAGATACCCTTTTAATACATTCAGCGAACCCTGCATCTTTCTATCATATTATTGTGATTTTATTTAAATAATGCCTAGTACCACTAACAAATAATGAAGTCCTGTGGTCCTCCAGTGAGCAGCCAAGGATAAGCAAACAGCTAGCTGGCTTTACAAGCCACAGCTGGTTAAAGACCTAGTGGAAGGATGCAACACTGTAAAATCTCCCTAGACAGAGTAAGAATCTTGTTCCACAGGGGCTGCATGGCGGGTAAGACAACATCTTGTAAAGGGAGCAGAAAGGGACTTTATCTTAAGGACTAAAACTCCACTTTGATTTGAGAACTGCAGGCTTAAACACAATCTTTTTATGTTGGCAAGGAATACACCTCCAGAAATATATCATCCTTTCATCCACAGTGTTATTCATGAAACTAAAAAACAAAAAATTAATCTCCTTTTTAGTATTTTATATAATTCTGCTATTTCTAAGTCAATTCTCTTTATTGTTAGCCAACTTCAAATTAATAGGATTGAAATTTAAGTTATTATAATAATGGCGTTTTCTTTCAAAAAATCAAAAGTAAAAGCTGATATATTCTAGAATAGAAAATATCTAAGAGAGTCACTGCAAAAACTGATTTTAGGATATTCAAGTATAATGTAATTTAATAGAAATTTTCATAATAAAAAAATATGAGCTGGCAGTTAGCAAAGTACTTACCAAACAATCAGAAGAACCTGAGTTCAATTACAGAGACACATATTTCAAGAATATCAAGTGTTTCTCTGGCTCTTGACAGGAACATAAAGGCAGGGTTAACTTAACCTTTTGCTGTCTAAACAGTTGGCATTTCCTGTTCTGGGTGCTACTGCCAAATGTCCTGGTACTTAGAGCTGGGATACACAACTTTACCATGGACCTAGCAATGCAGCAGCCTGTACTCTGCAATTGGCCATAGATGAAACACTTAGTCACCAGGCTTCTAGAATTGTTTCAGCACTCTCTCATGGTCATTTGACTGGAGCGGTGTAGAGGCAGTCTCTGGACACTTTCCTGTATAGTTCTCTGGGAAGGCTATATATTTCGGTTATTGTTTTGTATTTTCCGTTGCATTTTGTAGCTTGTA